GAATAAGTTATTTGTTGACACTGCCAGAAAATAAGCTTCAAATGTGTCCTACCTTGTATCCAGTTGGACTTGCTCCAAGCTTTCTGCCATCTTTGATCTAGCCATCAATGTAACAATTTCATCACTATCATTGTCAAAATCAACAGCTTCTTAGGGTTTGTAATCAGAGAGAGAGGGGGCTCTGATATTGTGTCAACCACTCAGGACATTTTTCCATTGCAAAGGTCAGTCTGGGTTTTGACAGAATTACCTGTAAGGCGACATAAAACCCTTAAGAATCATCAGGGTAATTATTTTATTCAGTCCTCTACCCTCACAGAGTTCTGAATCTCCATAAAGCAACATTTTACCTGATACTGGTATGACCTTGATCACAGAACTAGTCCCCAGGCCCAGATTACCTAATGCCATTCAGTTGTATGATTTGCTGAATAAGTGGAGCCAAATATGTTGGAACAGTTTTCTGTGTGCTGTGAAACTATAAAATCCTAAGTAACTCCAGGAAAGTTGTGATTATTCACCTTTCAAAATCACAAATCAGGGGAATTTCCCTGCAACATCCCAGAGAGATCCAGATTAGACTGGGATTGTCAATATTACATTGTGATAATAAACCCATGAAATTCCTACTCTGTCCCAAGCACCTGGTTTCATAAGCAAACATTTCAAACTAGAAATCTGTGAAATACAACTCCTAGTTGGAGGTCCTGAATCACATTGGACCATTACAGTTCCACCTGCCTGCTGCTGCACAAAGAACATAGGTTGGCAAAGGTAGAAGACACATTTTTCTCATCTTCTCCAATAAACTATAACACCAGACCAGATTTCCATGTTCATCCAAGTTTAAGTTTTGGATGATTGCTCTTTGCCCATTTATTGACCTGGTAGTACCTTTAATTGATGGGGATGATCACCGAGGCAACTCAAATTTTCTGTGCTAGAAGCCACACTTGGAGCAACCAAAATCCAGTTGCTCTCCTATCTCCTATAATAAGCTGTTGCCCTGACAATATCTGCTTCTGCTCCCTATTATTCTAATTGCTATACTCTGCTTCTGTTTGTGCTTTTTCATAAATATATATTTCAAGGCACCAAGCAGTAACTTCCTAAATTGTACAGGTGGTCAATATCCACAATACAAATAAAGGAACACACCAGCTGTCTGTCTGGAAGGCCAAACTTAGGCAATTTTACATTTAATCCAGTTGATGCATTTGCAGATTTATGAGAAGCAGTGAGCAGATAGAACCTTCCACTAGACATCATTGGTTCAAAAGTCAAATTAGCCTGACAAAATATTTCTCTTTATTCAGTCTGTAAAATGGAAAATGAAATAATAGAATTGCAGAACACATGATATACACATGTTACTAATAGACACTGGTTTATATCATTTTGGTACGCCAAACTGGACAGAATCCATAGCATTGGGCACACATTTTGCTTTAGTAAAGCAACTAAACCCAAGATCCTTCTGAATGACTCCCATTTTCTCCCCCTGCCCCACAGGTCAAGCATCAATGGCCGATGATTTACTATTCAACAGCCAGAGAAATGGATTTGAGCTGTCACTGCACACCACCATTAACACCCCCCTTTTCAGATACCTCTTCTGATTTGTCCCATGGCATCCACAATTTACCTCCTCCTGGTCTTAGAGGATTGCCCTGCAAGTACATGGCTCATTCTGTAAGATCTCACCAAAGGCTGCCTTGCCCTTGCAATCAGAGCTGCATGCAGTGCCTCCTTGGGAACCGGAGCTTTCCCACCCATGATGGGAACTTATGTCCACATCTAATTAACAAAAGCTCTCCAATTTGCTGCCAAGAAAGCCAACACACTGCCTGTCTTGAACAATGTATCAATTCTTACCCATTGTGGCTCTCAGCTCAAATAGAAGGGAGTAGGATACTAGGTAGAGGGGCTGTGCTCTCCAAAGACCCTGTGCAAGAGGCAATTGACCTATCTGAGCACCAACTGATGCCTGAGAACTGCATTGTTTACTCCCTCAACACAAAAGATTTAGACTCTATAGGGCAATGTGGACATTGTGTTCCTTCTGTGCCAAAACATTATGCCATCTATTCATCACCTATTTCCTCCAGTTACTTGAGAAATGAAAGTGGTCACCGATTCTCTAACAACATACCACCTGTCCTTGTTGCTCTGTATCCCAGGGAACGAGGTTTGCCACCACATGTGGAACAACTAGCCCAAATTGATCGAACTCCCACACCTTCTCTGGCAGAGAGCTATTTGGCCTTCTCTGGCTCATAGACAAGAATACTTTTTTCCCCCTGAGCATAAAAAGTGAGCCACTACATCTGATCGCTTTCTTGGTTTCATCATTTCATGCTTCCTCTCATTATGGAAGCTTGGCTTTCTTCATCCTGCTGCTTTGGACCGGTTGATCTGTGTGCTTGAGCATCATAGCAGAGATGGATTTGAACTTCTATCAGGAGAAGTGCTACTGCATGCAATGCTACTTCTTGAATTAAGGTTGGTGTGTGGGGTGGGATGCAAAAGTTATCCCTTATGGTATTTATCATGGCTTTATTCCTGGATCCTATCTATAATTCTATAGTACAGGTAGTCCTCATTTAGCAACCACAATTGGGACCCACAACTTGGTTGTTAAGCAAAGTGGCTGCTAAGTGAAAGTGCAACTGGGCTTATGGTCTTACTTACAGACCTGTGAAGGTTGTAAATAGGAGGATTGGTCGCAAAGTTACTTTTTCATCACTGTTGTAACTTTGATCGCTAAACAAGGCAGTTGCTAAACAAGGACTACCTGTACTTTTGAATAACTGCAAATAAATTTTGTCCAAATATTTACAACTGACTAGACCATGTTTAACTTTCAATGAATTGAGGTGCAATATTCTGCTTTGTTCTTTGTAGGTTATCATAGTTTCTTATCCTACAACCATCACGCATGAATACTTTGAAAGGGTTTCTGATTAAAACTTGCCCTTTGACCAAACGAATTTTAGTGCTCAGAAGGGTCTTAATATTTCTGTTTCCCATTTTATATCATTTAATAGCTCTCCCAGCTTGACAACTTTCTTCTGTATTGGTTTTCTAAAACTGCAGCTGTTATTTGCAAGGAAGTTTTATGTTGTAATGAATTGTATTTGAGATTTGTCAAGTTGCCTGTCTATTAATTTGGTTACATACAGAAGCCAGATGCAGTGTTTCAGTAGTCTCTCACACCTAAATTTCAGACTTAGTTGCACCATTTGTTATTACCAAGCTGTCTTTGTGCCTAGGCAAATACTTTTTCTGCTGTTTGCTTGCTTTGGCACCCCTTTTATTGGCAAACAGAAATTGAATGCCTCTCTAATGTCACAAGAGCTTCTGCAGGGAAATAGGGTGCTGCTGTAGAAGCACAATTGTTCAGTTCAATTCAACAGAGCATGTGAATGTAATGCTCCACTTTCTTTTCCAGACACCCCTACCCACAACCCCAAGGGATTACTGCAGAGACTGGAGTCACAGTGGACTCTCATGACTGTAGGAGGGAATATTTGATAGTGGCCAAAGATTAATTAAGGGTCTGTAAGTGCCTGGAATTTTCAACAGCTGCTCAAAGATGCCACTTATCCATATCTAAGTGCATCAAAATCAACCTCCAACCGTGAACGTGTGTGTTGGCTCTGGATGTTATGATTACTTCTTCTCTGTGCTTTGCCAACTGCATTAGTACAAGCTTGGTCCTGGGTGCCAAAGCAATACTTCTTCATATGCCCTGTAACTAAGGTCTAGGGGTTTTTTTTTTTGTCTGCGCTCAGTCATTGCTGACCCTGCAGTGACTGCTTGGACGAGTCCTTGTTT